CAGAGTTAGTCCTGGCTTCAGCCTGGCTGACGCAGGCATTTGTTGAGTAAGCCAGGAAGAGCGGATCTCTGTTTCAGCATGAGACAATCAATATTTCAATCAAATTATGTATATATATATATATATATTGAATATATATATATTGAATCAGGGTTAGCGTGTGCACTTCTAACTGCAGATTCACTCTAAATGGCTGCAAGCCAGGGCCGAGGCAGGCTGAAGCTTCCTTTGCGTTTCCTATGTGGATGCAAGGGCCCAAGCTCTTGGCCATCTTCTGTTGCTTTTCCAGGCCAAAAGCAGAGACACACAGGATGCTGGCACTGGATGCAGAGGCTTAGCCTGACGGGCTCAGCAAGCGGGTCTCCTGAGCCTCAGCGGACGGATGCTGTGCCCTTGTTCATTCTGAGCGCAGCAGCCAGCAGCACCTGGGACGGCTTCCAACTGCTGAGGTCTGGGGGAGCGGTGAGCTTGAGATCCTTTCCCATGTACCGCTAGCCCCACTTTGAGTAGCTAAAGGCTAGGTCATCGCTACCAGCTCTCAGCTCATTGCTTTGGTGGGCCAATTTTGGAGCGATCTGCCTTTCAAGCAGTGGTCACTTCATCTAGAGTTTTCAGATGAAAACGAAATAGAGCACTACAACGTAAGGAACCGAAATGCTAAGCACAGGCTTACAGAGACTGTAGGGTTGTTTCTTCTCCCTTAAAGATGTGTATTGTTATTGGAAATGAAGATTCACAGAGAAAAGGACAAACAAGAAGACTTTCCATCTGCTGATTCACTCCCCAGATGGCTTCAACAGCCAGGGCTGAGCCGGTCTGAGGCCAGGAGCTTCCTCCAGAAGCTTTGGGCCGTCCTCCACCACTTTCCCAGCCCACAAGGAGGGCACCAGATGGAACGTGGAGCAGCCAGGACATGAACCGATGCCTATATGGGATCCCAGTGGTTACACGGGATTGGACAATTGAGCCATTGCTCCAGGGCCCTCCAGTTTCTTCTTAAGGCAACAGAAATGTTCAAAGTAAAGGATAGGTGCTAGGCCTGCGTTAAGGTGCAGAGAAAAGCAACAGGCCATTGCCAAGTGCAAGCGAGTTCCTCCTCTCTCCCACAACAGTGCATCAGTAGATAGTCAAGTCTTTCACTATGACCCACACTAAGAACTGTCTTTTAGGTTGTGTTCACAGACTGTTGGGGTCTTTCTTAACCAAGTCCCTGTTGGGCCATTGCAGCTTCCCTGGAACGGACCTGAAGCTGATCATTGTCCTTATGTTTTTCTGCTTATCAGGAGTTGCCCAGTGAAACCACCATTGAGCATGTCTCCCACCACGCTCCATCAGACTCTTGCAAGCAAGCTGCGGGAACAGACCAACGGGTGGCCGTGCAAGGGCTGGTTTCTATGGGAACTCTTGATGTGGGAGGTTGCAGGTGAATGAATGAGGAGGGTCATGACACGAGAACTAAATTGCTTGGCACCTGTAGTCTTGATGAGTACATACCAGGTCTAACAAACAAACCTGTCATGTACATTTCCTATTGTTCGTATCGAGTTCCTGTATGTGTATGAGGTTCTACATTTATAAGATAATCATTAACATAAACTATATGACCTTCCCTTATAACTGATCAATAAATACTGGATGATGGGGAGAATCAAGAGGACGGAATATGGTAAGGACACGTTTAAACAGATGGAGAAATATTAGGCAGTGGGAAGCAGAGGGTGCATTCTGGGAAATACAAGGGGACAAAACAACAGCAGAAGGCACCTGGAGATTGTCAGACACAGGAAAGCAGCGGACACAATGGCGTGGTGTTGCAGTAACTGATACCCCAGCAACACTCAGCCAGCAGTGATCTGAACTCCACTGGCAGCCGGAACTCCACCAGCAACAAGGTGGGAAGGGACGTTTCCGGGAGCTCCAGAGAGGAACCCAAAAAACTGCTCGTCCTACTGGTCTGTTTGATTTGACCAGAAGCAGAGACAGAGTGGCAGGTCCCAGACAGGAAGTGTGGGAACAGGGTGGATTTCTTAGCCCAGTCCACCTCCTAGATCCATATTGTGTAAGGAGGCAAGGGCTATGGGGCAGGACTGTGTATGCACAGAGCTGGGAGTGAACTCAATTCTGACTCAGTGAACTGCAACAACATGGCATCCTACGGGTTCCACCCAGGATAGTTCTGGGTAGCACTCAGATCTGACAGCCAGCAGATCAAGAGCTCTAGTAGTGGCACATCAGGCGTCATTTCTTTCAGTATGGCAAAACAATTTAAGATTGCAGGGACAACAGTGAGCTGCGCATGAGCTGAGCTTAGCAAAAACTCACCGAGCTCAGTGCACTGCATCGATCCCACGGGGAAAATAATACCGACTATGGCATCGTATGGGTGAAAACAGGGCTGAGTAACTCTCAGACCTAATGGCCAACAAGTTCCAGCAAGATTACCACCAACAACCACCTAGCTTTGCAGGCCATGTGGTGTCTCGCTAATCCTGGGAATTACTCCAACCGGAAGTGAGAGAAAGGTTGTACAGACAATGGTGCAACCTCAGCATGGTATCTCAGGGGGTGGAGAGTGGTGAGCCAGGAGCTGGAGCTACTGAGACTGTGGTGGAAATCTAAAATTACAACCCAGACCTGGAACTCACTGGAGGGAGTGGCACAAGTGACTGCAAACAAAGAGCCGGGTACCAACTGCAATAAGTAAAATCAAACTGTAGACCTGTGGGTGACACAGCTTAGAAACCTGCCCCAAGGAGAAGAATCTACTAACCCGAAGTACAGAGACCAAGAGCGAAAGAAGAGACAGAGGCACAATGAAGACTCCGCTGCAAAGGAGCAAAACCTTTTGCCAACCTCAGAGCTCACTGAGGAAGATATTGAGAAAATGGGGGATACAGAAATCAAAACGTTTGTTTTGAATCTTATCAACAACGAGAAGCACGTAAAGCATGCATTGAAGGAATTTAAGGAATATGTCACACTGGAAATGAATCAAATGAAAGCTGATATATCAGAAATGAAGAATACAGGGGAGCAAGTTGGGCCTGGCACGGTGGCCTAGTGGCTAAAGTCCTTGCCTTGAACCCACCAAGATCCCATATGGGCACCAGTTCTAATCCTAGCAGCCCAGCTTCCCATCCAGCTCCCTGCTTGTGGCCTGGGAAAGCAGTTGAGGATGGCTCAAAGCCTTGGGACCCTGCACCCGCGTGGGAGACCCAGAAGAGGTTTCTGGTCCCCGGATTCGGATTGGTGAAGTACGAGCCATTGCGCTCACTTGGGGAGTGAATCATCGGACGGAAGATCTTCCTCTCTGTCTCTCCTCCTCTCTGTATATCTGACTTTGTAATAAACATAAATAAATCTTAAAAAAAAATACAGTGAAGCAAGTTAAAAGTAAAGTGGAGAATTTCCAAAATAGAATGATGGAAGCAGAAGAAAGAATCTCAAAATTAGAAGATATTTCCTGTCACCAGGGGAAAAAAACCAAAAAGCTGGAAGCAGAGCTGGATCAGACCAAAAAAAGTATTCAAGAATTGAAAGACACTATTAAAAGGCCAAATATAAGAGTTACAGGAGTCCAGAAGGTGCAGAAAGAGAAACTTGGATTAAAGGTGTATTCAACGAAATAATATGGGAAAATTTCCCTACTCCTGAGAAAGAATTGGGAAACAACAGCCGCACCGCCCACTCCCGCCATCTTCCTGCTGGCTGCCTGGGCTGCTGGTGGTCCTGGGGCTGGAGTCTGTGTGTCATTCCAGACATGTCAAATCTGAGCGACGGGCAAGACTGAGACCAATGTTTCCTCATGTATAGAGTTCTGAGCAGGAACATCTGGAAGCATCCCACAGCAGTTCTCATGGTTATGGTCCGTTCTCCTTGTCTCCCAAGGATGCTTGCGGAGTTCTCCCTGTGTTTCCAGGAAGAGTGAGACATGTACAAGTCCCTGTGCACAGGGAGGAGCTGTTGATGCTGCATCCACAATGTGACTGTCCCCAAAGCCTGCAGGAACGGTTTGTTCCGGGTGAGGGCCCCTCCCTCGAAGCCATGCTTCTCTGCACAGAGAAGCCATTCGGAAATCACTGAGTCTTGTGGAACAGGAACAATGCACAGAGCAAAAGCAAGGATCAAGTATTTTAATAACGTATACCTTTTAGTCATATATATGTACGCTGATGATTTGATAGTTTGTATTGATTAATTCACAGTTGTATGCTTCCTGCCATCAGTGATGTGTGGTGTTTTCAAACTCCTAAAAATGGTATTTAATTCATTTCAGTCATTCATTTAAAAACTAGTTTTTTTTTTAAATATGTGTGCATCAGTCATGTCTGTGTGTGTACAAGAACTGTTAAAACGAACAGAAACGTACTTAAAATTGTAACATGTACGTAAAATTTGCCGTTAGCCGTTTGTAAGTGTGCACTTGAGTAGGTTTAAATGCGTCCTCACGTATTTGCCCCTGACACCACTATCCATCTACGGGATCTTTTTCATGTCACGTAAAACTCCACAAATTCTAAATCCATTTCTCTAGCCCAGTCTTTGGCAATCATGATTCTGCCACTTGACTCTGTGAGTTTGTCTGTCCTGGGAAGTTCATGTAAGTGGAGTTATGTTAGCTTTGCTTACCCTAAAATGTCTTTCCACTTCTATCGGGGTCCCTCGTCCCGCAAGCAAGACCCCGATACTGTAAAGAGTCTTAAAAAAGTTTATTGGGTAAGACTTCAAGCGTTGTGGCAAAATGAAAGCAGTTACAGCACTTGTAAGATTTATTACAGTAAAGCAAAAGCAGCCTAGTGCTAGCTAGCAATAGCCTTGAAGTGATAGCTCTAGCTCTAGCCTAGCCTTGAAGTGCGCCTGGGAGAATCTCCTCATTAACTATTTTTCACCCAGACCTTTTTACATTACACAAACCAATCCATACACAGTTCCTCACATCATGTGATAAGCACACCAATCATGACTTAGGTCACGTAGTTTCCCTGCGTGCTCGGCCCAATCCTCAGTAACTTCCCAAAATCTGTTTACCACCTTTGTGCCACGAAGCAATGGTCAGCAAGTGCCATCTTTGAGGCGTGGCTCCGCTCTCCACAACTTCATTCTATGGAATTCCACTGGATAGAAAATCATAAATTGAAGGTCATTTTCTTTTACAGTTTTGCGTACAACTTTTCCTTTTCATCATGCTGACAGCAGCGTGTGTGCACTTGGGTCTACCTAACATGCCACGGGGGGTTTTTCTTTTGGCTGCCTCCTGGGGATGGTCTTCTACCTTCGTGTATCAGCAGTTGGTCCCTTGCTTGGAGAAGTTTTCTTTCTGCCCATCATGATTAGAAGTTACTGAACCATTTTGGATCTATGAATTGGTGTCTTTCACAAAATTTAGAAAGTTTTAGACATTGCTCTGCAACATGCATTTCCCAGTGAAACTACACTTGACGTGTAAGTAGGACTGCTTTCCGGAGTGGTCCACTATAAAGACTTATCGCCCCATGTAACTTCAAGTTCCATTGTTTTCTTTTCAATCCAGCGCTAAGCCAACCAGTGAACTTCCCTTTTAGTTATAAGTTTTATGTTTTTCTAGTTTCTTTTTTCTCTTCTTTTAGTGTCTAAAATACATTATTTTAATAACTTCACTTAAAGACTTCAAGTGTATCATAAAAAGATAAGAATTAATTAAAAATAATAATTAAAAATATCTTTTTTCTGTTATATGTTATTAACACTGGGATTCTCACTTGATCCTCATTTTACAAGTTCATGTGTCAGAATAATTATAGCAAGTGTGCTGAGAGGGGAAAATCAGAGATCTTCCACCTGCTCGTCCACCCCACAGAGGGCAGCAATGGGCAGCAGTGTGCCAGACCAAAGCTGGGAATCAACAGCTTCTTCCTGGTCGCCCATGTGGGCACAGGGGTCCTAGGACCTGGGCCACCTTTCACTGCTTTCCTAGACACATTAACAGGGGGCTGGATTTAAGTAGAGCAGCTGGGACTTGAACCAGCACTTTTATGAGGCGTTAGCGTCGCAGGCGGCAGTTGTATCCTCCAGGCCACAATGCTGGCCTGATGGGACCCATTTTATGAAAACAAAACTTGAAAGTAACTGGTCATCACCAGAATAGCCATATGTAATATGCAAGAGTTTTCTGATTTTTTTTTCCTTGGGAAAGTATTTAGAAGCAAGTCGTATGCATATGGTCAAACCATATCTATGTGTATAGCTTGTTTTATTTTTTCCCTTCTAAATGAAGGCGTTATAGGTTGAGTTTCTAGGAAGAAAAGTCCCAGACACATTCTGCAGGGTGGAAATTAGGGTATGCCCCTGGTTCCACCATCTGTGCCAGGAAAGAAAGGGAGGAAGTGCCGGAGAAGAGGGAGGACTCGAGGTGTGCTCCCAGCAGGAGACCCGGGCTTCCCCCCCCCCCCCCGTCCCCCACCCCAGCTGTGCAGACATAACAGCTGAGTCAGCCAGAGATGGACAGATCTGTTTCCTGGCTTCTTTGCTTTGTTTTGGTCTTCTTTTGTTGGCTTGTTTATTTTAAAGATTTGTTTTATTTTTATTGAAAATACAGATCTGAGAGGAAAGACAAAGAGAAAGATCTTCCATCTGGTAGTTCACTCCCTGAATGGCTGCAACAGCCAGAGCTGAGCCGATCCGAAGCCAGGAGCCGGAAGCTTCCTCTGGGTCTCCCATGGCTTTGAGCCATCCTCCATTGCTTTCCCAGGCCATAAAGAGGGAATGCAATGGGAAGTGGAGCGCCTGGAACATGAACTGATGCTCATTGGGGATCCTGGCACTTGCAAGGTGAGGATTCAGCCATCAACCCATTATGCCGGTCTCTCTCTCTTCCTTTCTTTCTTCCTTCCTTCCTGCCAGTCGGTCTTTCTTTCTTTCTTTTCTTTTCTTCTTCTTATCTCCTTTCTTCCTTCCTTCCTTTTCTTTCTTTTTTGAAGATTTATTTATTCACTTGAATGTCAGAAATACACAGAGAGACGTGAAGACAATGAGAGAGATCTTCCATTTGCTAGTTTGCTTCCTAGATGTGTCCGTAGCAGCTAGCATTGGGCCAGGCTGAAGCCAGGAGCCAGGAGCTTCATCCAAGTCTCCCATGTGGATGCACAGCCCCAGGCACTTGGGTCATCTTCCAGTGCTTTCCCATATATTTTGTAGGAAGCTGGATTAGAAGTGGAGCTGCCAGGTCATCAAGCAGCTCCCATATGACATACCGGTTGTTGGCAGACAGGGGCTTTCCTCACTATACCACAGTGGTGGCCCCAGATGGACAGATGTTTACAATCTTGGCTGAGTCTGTCACCAGATGTGGAGTACTTCAGGCGGGACTGTCTCTGCAGTGTTACCAGCACTTCCTACAGCGCAAGCAACAAGATGCACATCAAAAGGAGGGTGCCTGTCTGGGTGCTGGGTCCCAGTGTTCATTCCAGAAGATAAATGGGTGATGTTTGCTGGCTGCTGGGGTTTGAGTGTCACACCCAATCCCAAATCCATCTGCTGCAGCTGAGTCCTCTCTGAACTCCCGGAGGAGCAAGGGCCTCTGGGAAGTGACTGGATCACCTGCTCAAGGCAGGGCTGTCCTGAATGGGATTAGCACCTTACAAAGGAGGCCCCCCCCACAAGAGCCCTTGTGCCCCTCCCACCACACGAGGTCACACTGAGGGTCTAAACAAGTCCCCCCTCCCCACGCCCTGTCACTGGATCTGCCAGTGCCTCCGGAACTGAGAAGTAAAGGGCTTAGACACCACCCAGACTAACAGCCAAAACAGATTCACATGCTTGTTCCACAACAGGAAAAGGCAATGACTCCTTCTTATCATGACACGGGTTTCTTTCAATATTTTGAAATCAATAAATGAATTTAGACATGAGAACTGCTGAATGCTGGTTACACAATATCATATCAACTAATTCTGGTACGTTACAAATTGTTACTGATGTAATGTCGAGGCTTTCAATTGATTGGGATGATGCTCTTTCGGCTGTACCTTCAGACCAGAGACTGTCTCCCCATGAAACTGTCGAACTTATCTGCACAATAAGATGCTGGACTCTATGTTTTGTAGATGCTTGCAAGGAAAAAAAATCTCAACTGAATTTGATCTGTGGTAATGAAACAAGATGGAAGAATCCACCATAGGGGGGGGGGAGCGGGTTTTGGGGAGGGGAGGGGGGAATCCCAGTGCCTGTAAAACTGTGTCTCATGATGCAATGTAATAAAAAAAATAAATTAAAAAAAAAATAAATTAAAAAAAAAAAGTACTAATAAAAAAAATAAATAAAAAATTTAAAAAAAAAAGAACTGCTGAGAAAACACTGATCGTTTATAAAATATTCCCTCTCCCCCATGCTTTTCCTCCCCAGGTTTTTTTTTTTCCCTTTTTTTGAGGTAATGGAATGGAAATTATTTGGTTTGTTTGGGGTTGAATGGTGTCCCAGAAATAGGTATTTGAAATCCTCACCCCTGCCGGGGCAACAGCTCAATTGTCTAATCTTCCACCCATAAGCACTGGCACCTCATATAGGCACTGGTTCATGTCCCAGCTGCTCCACTTCCCATCCAGCTCCCTGCTTGTGGCCTGGGAAAGCAGTGGAGGATGGGCCAAAGCCTTGGGACCCTGCACCTGCGTGGCCGACCTGGAAGAAGCTCCTGGCTCTGCTCTGGTCAGCTCAGCTCTGGTCACTGTGGCCACTTTGGGAATAAACTGGCAGACAGATCTTTTTCTCTGTATCTCCTTCTCTCTGTAAATCTGCCTTTCAAATAAAAATAAATCTCCTTAAAAAAAATACTAAATGCTTAAAAAAAAAAATCCTCACTCCCCCATCGCTTAGGACCAATGAATGACCTTGTTCAAAAACAGTGATGCAGATGTGTCATGAGCTACAAGGAGATTACATCTTAATAGTGGACCTATATCTAAACTCATCTTGCTAGTGTCCCCACAAGAGAAGACAGACACCCGAGGAAGGGCAGGCAAAGAATTCATTTATGTTGTGAAGAATCAAGCTAGGACTTTCTAGGATTACAGCAGCTAAAGGAGGTAAAGAAGGGTTCTTCCAGCTTAGAAGCCTCAGGGGAACCATGGCCCTGCCAGCACCTTTAGCTTCAGCTTGTACCCTCCGAAACATGAGCCCAGCATGAGCTTGGATAGCTGTAGACCGCAGACTGCTTGACTGTTTTAAGTACTTTTTGCTTTTTGTTCTAGCAAACTGATTCAGGCATATAGCAATTTTCTTGCACCAAAGAGCATAAAGTTAAAAAGACACAGCTATTTTCTCTTCATCTCAACCTTCCATATTTCTATTTTGGTGCATTTCATAATGTAAAGTGATGATCATTTGCAAACATTTGTTAAGTATGAATCATTTTTCTTTTTGCATGTGCGCTCTGTCTTCAGAATGGCATCCAACTAAAGCAATGCCTGTGTGTGTGCTGGGAACTGTGGTTGAAACATCATTTGCAGAGATAACATGAGGCCCAGGACAATGAGCTGCTTCATTAGCTTCTGCCAGGTCACGGGGCTGGACTAATCCAGGATCCCCTTAATCCAGTTTCAGAATCTGAACTTTTCTGGGTCAGCCAGCCCGGCTAGAGGCAACACATGATGCGAGTATTCTTCAAGTCCACTTGCTCCTGGAGTGTTGCCCTTGGATGTGTCAGCCCTATGTGTGTGGGCATCGTCCAGTGCCCCAAGCCTGGATCCTAGCTTTGTCCTCCCCTGGCTTTCCAGAGCAGGGCAAAGTTCTACTTAGTCTCAAGGCCTTGCAGCGAGCGGCCTCCAAGTTAGACTACCAAACATGGTTCTCATTTCTGATTCCATTTCTATTTTTGCCCCCATTTGGTCCAATTGTTCATCATCTTATTATTTTTTAAAAATTTTATTTATTCTTATTAAAGAGGAGAGACACAGAGAGAAAAATTTTCCACCCATTGGTTCACTCTCTAAATGGCCACAATGGCCAGAGCTGAGCTGATCCGAAGCTGGGATCCAGGAGCCTCATTCAGGTCTCCCATGCAGGTGCAGGGTCCCAAGGCTCTGGGCCATCCTGTACTGCTTTCCCAGGCCACAAGCAGGGAGCTGGATTGGGAAGTGGAGCAGGGAGCAGCCCATATGGGATATTGGTGCTTATAAACTGAGGATGTAGCCATTGACCCATGGCTCCAGGCCCAGCTTTCTCTTTATCTTATTAACGCTTTTAATCCTGACTTACAAAAACAAACAAAATTTATTTGAAAAAGTGACAGAGAGAAAGAAAAACTGAGAGAGATCTTCTGTCTGTTGACTCACTCCCCAAAAGGCCACAATGTTGGGAGCAGGCTGGGTTGAAGCCCGGAGTCTGGCACTTCATTCAGGCCTCCCACGTGGGTGGCAGAGACCCAGCTAGGGCCATCTTCCTATGCTGTCCCAGGAGCAGTAACACAGAGCTGCTCTGCAAGCTAAGCTGCTGGGGCTTATAAACCTGCACTCCAACATGGGATGCTAGAATTGCAAGTGGCAGCCTAACGTGCTGTGCCACAGCGTAGGCCCCCTAATCCGGATTTTAAACCGTGGCCGGACACTCTATCATTACCAAAAGCATAGTTAAGCGCGTTTACAGGCAGCTCTCCCACAGTATCTCTATCTCTTAGCTCTCCTCCAATCCTTTCTCACCCCTAGTCTCTCCTTCACATTGTCAACAGCTCAGTTGCATTTTTAATTAACAAGGTAATAATTGTACATGTTTCTTGAGTTCCATGTAACTGGCTGATGCATGCGTACACTGTGTTGCAATCAAGTCAGGTTGATGGACACAGATGCTACTTTATCATTTTTGCAATGATGTTAAAAAACTCTTTTTTCTATTTTGAAATACACATTACTGCTAACTATAGTCATCCTGCCGTGCCATGAGACACCAGATCTTTTTCTTATTTCACTGTAACTGAATCCCATTTCAACTCCTTCCTGCTCTCCTCAGCCTGTTCTACTTCCAGCTTCAGGACACCAGCCTTCTTGAACTCCAACCGTGACCGAGGTCCTGAAGAGCTGGTTTTTCAGTGCAGGCCCATTTCATGGAACATCATGTCTTCCAAGTTCACCCACTCACATGGTTTTTCCCTTTGCGTAACTCAGTAGTATTTTACTGTGTAGCACAATCTACGCGTTTTTTTACCCAGTTCATCCACTGTTGAGCACCTTGGTGAATCCACACCTTAGCTACCATCCATGGAACGCAGCGATGCAGCAACACAGGAGTGCAAACGACACTTCAGCATACTGACTTTAGTCCGTGTGCACACAGACCTGGATGCAGGAGGCTGGAGCATGTCAAAGTTCCCTTTCTGTTTTGAGGTAGCTCTATACTGTTTGAAAGAGTGAGACAAAGAGAGGAGAGAGACCAACACACACACACAGATCTTCCATCTGCGGCTTCACTTTCAAATGCTCACAGCAGCTTGGGGCAAGGACAAGCTCAAACCAAGAGCCTGGGACTCCAGCCAGGTCCTACGTGAGCAACAGTGGCTCAAACCCCTGAGCCCTTTCTGCTGCTCTCCCAGATGCATTGGCTGTAGCGGAAGTGGAGTAGCTGAGACTGAAGAGCTACTTCAATGGGTTGAAGACTGTCTCTTTTTTCTCTTTATCTTTAAAACAAACAAAAAAAAAACACTTTAAAAGATTTATTCTTTTTTTTCTTTTTTTTTTTTTTTGAAAGTGGGTAATATCATTGTTTCCACACTAATACAATCATTTTGCCCTGTATCTGGGGTTAGGGGAGTAGCAAAGGGAAAAGCCCCACCCAACTTCCCACCCATCCCCAACATGAGGTGCGCTCCAAGGGTCCTGCTCAAACAATTTTGATAGTTCATCAGTGCTGGATTGCTGCCAATCTCACCGTCCCAACCGCAATGAAACCTATTCAGAGTCCACTGGCTGACAGTCTCTTGATGGTTGGGGTTCCAAGATCAGCAGTTCAGTTGGAGAGATATCCAAAGAAACTTCATCTGAGTTGATCCCAGATCTGATTCTTGAGTGAGTTTGCTAGTACAGATTCCAACACCGTTCGTCACACCAATCAGCTTATGCACATGCCAGTTGTTGTGATTGCTGGGTCCGTTCGGTTTCCAGCCCTGTCTTCCTCGTGAACCAATGGGTGTTGTAGTCCAGCTCGATCCTACCCATTTCATACTCGGTCTTCATGCAAACCAGTTGGAGCTGCAGCCTAGTTGGGGCGACTCCCCAGAACCCCTACCAGATCTGCCCCCTACCATGGTTCCCATGCTTGCCAGTATGTACCACAGGCTTGTCCAGTCTGTCCCACATCCCATTTAGCTCTCGCACACGTCAATGGACATTGAAGCCTAGTTCAACCCAACCAACCTATTATCCAGCCCATACACCTACTGGCAGGTGCCTTTCTGTCTAGCCACCCCTGCCCCTATCCTGGTTTTCGTGCTGTCCAGTGGGGGTGGTAACCCTGAGGGAGGTGCCCACTATTTCCCTACTAGGCCACACCCACTCCCAGATTATGCAGTCTCCAGGTGGTTCTGGCATTTGACTTGACAGAATTAGCTCCCAGGACCAGCCTCTGCCAGCTAATGCTGTGGCTAAGCCCAAATACCCCTCAACCCACTCTAATTTTACTTGCACAACTCAGAACAGTCAGCTCACCGTGAGGCCCACAGGTGCTATAGCCCTGCCTAGTCTGAACTTCCCCCATCCCAATTCACGCTTTCCAATGGAAGCAGTTATCCAGCAGGGGCGCCCACGTCCCCCTGCCGGCTTTGCCTCCTCCCTGATTGTCACATGTGCTGTTTATGCGCTACATCTGGTATGGCTCATCTCACCTTGGCATTACTTGTTGTGTGCTGGTATGTGTTGCAACCGAACCTGGCTCGACCCACACTCTGTTCTGGTGCTTGGATTCACCAGAAGGTAATGTGAACAGGTTCAGTGTGGTCTGCCCCCAACCCATGCCATGTGTATGCCAGTGGGATAATTTCCATTGCCTGTTCTGGGTTGTTCCCTATTGTGCTTCTTGCACTTGCCCGCAAGCAGGGGACTGTGTCCTGCCAGAGAAGTTGCCCAGGCTCCTCCACCAGAACCTCTCCCACTGCCAGTTTTTACGCATACCAGTGGATCCATGAGCCAGCACTACTCAGTTCACCTCCTGTCCTAAGAGGAACAGTGGTTTTTCCTGACTGGCCTTCGACCCAAGCTGGTTCTTGTTGTTGGATATTTCAACCCAGCCACGGCTCTTCCATACCCCCACACAGCTCACACATGGTTCAGTAGGGGCTGAGACCTAGCCTAGTCTGTCACACATCTTTCCCCGGTCCTCCAGAACACCAGATGGTGTCGGAATCTGGCCTGGCTTGGTGCTTCCAGTCCCAGTACACACTTGTGCCAAGTGAGATTACAATCGTATCCTGATCAGAATGCAGCCTCAGTTCCAGCCCATGCGCTCCTTGGTGGGAAACTCAACCCAGCTAGGGTGTCCCGTTATTTCCCCAACCGGGCCTCTTCCCTGCCTTAGATCAGGTGCAGGCCGGTGGTTGTTCTGTCTCCACTTGACAGAGCCCCTCACTTGTCCTGGCCCCTTGGATGCTGTGGCTTAGTGCCTCTGCCTCACGCAGATCAGTATATGCAAGGACCTACATGGCATGAGCTGTGCTCCAACCTGATTTCTGTTGTTTCTTGTGAGTTAAGGTTTGTTCAGCCCTGCCCATTCTGCCCCCTTCCAGTGGCAGCCCGGCCCACCCCACATCCTGTGTAAAGATGCGTATTTGGGTGCTGCTGCCTTGACCTACCCTGACTGTTGTGGGTTCCTTTACCCATGAGTGATGGCAGGTAACATGGTCACACCTAGCTTAGACCATTGCAACCCCATCTTGTGAGCTAACCCGGGGGACTTGTATTCCAAAGGGTTGGGCCCACACAACCCCACAGAGTCTACCTCCAGCCCAAGTTCTCTTGCATGCTGGATAGTGTCTTGATCCTACCAAATGTGACCACTCTACAACTCCAACACTCAGTCGGGCAATGGTACCCAACACTGCCAAAGAGGCCCCCATCCATAGCTTTGGTGTGGGCTAGTGTGTGGCAATCAGTGATGTTCTATACTAATATCCCATCTCTGTATTCATAATTGAGCTGTTGCATCTGTCTTTCTAATATTATCTTCTGGATACTTCACTCCAATCCACCAGGTCTTGGTCCCCTTGATGCTTAAATCTTTCATGACCCTGTCACTGAGAATAGCCGAAAATTCACTTCGCACCTACACTCAAACTAGTCTTAGTCATGAGTGACCACAGGCAGCAACTACGTATCTTGAAAACTCCAGAGTTTGCCCTGCCAGGCGGCCAGCAACCAAAGCCTGGCACCACTTGGTGTACTGGCTGCCCTAGGGGAGGCTGAGGACTCACTCATTGCCTTGTGGCAGTGTCTTTGGCGTGAGTCCCCAGCATTGAGTCTGACCTGGCAGGGGCACCCCCCACAGTCGCCACACTGCAGGGAGCGTCAGAGGCCCCCACGCCCAAGGCCCGAACTCCTCCCAAACTCACCCAGCCGCCAGATCTTTAACGATTTATTCTTATTTGAAAGATTTACAGAGAGACAAAGATCTCCCATTTTGCTAGTTTACTCCCCAAATGGCTGCAACCTCTGAAACTGAGTTGATCTGAAGCCAGGAGCGAGGAGACACCTGGGGGTCCCCCCACATAAGCACAGGGTCCCAAGGACCAGGCCATCCTCAACAGCCCTCCCAGGCCATAAGCTGGGAGCTGGAGCAGAAGTGGAGCAGCCAGGACACAACCATCACCCACACGGCATGCTGGCACTTGAAGGTTGATGTGCGTGTTGAATTATGACGCAGGCCCCCAAACAAATGCATATTTTGAAAGAAGAAGTAGTTGTCATTCCTTTTAAATGCTTTGATGGACGGTGAAGGGTGCCAGGCACATTGTCTCCGATCTGCAGCCAGCTCACCTAATTGGCATGAGAACACATCTAAAACTACAGCTTCTCCATGTATTAAGCTGAGCACTGTTTCTCGCCTAAAATTCACATCCTCGCACAACCTCAGAATGTGACCTTACAGGGAACGGGGTCTGTTCAAATGGAATTATCTGGAGTTGCATCACTATGAGGTCACCGGTCACCTGGGTGAGGGTGGGCCTGGAATCCAGTGGTTGCCTTTGTAAGTCCATGTGAAGACACTGGTCCACAAAGAGGCAAGGGCAGAGGCTGCACGATGCAGCTTGGCCAAGGAATGCCAAGGAGTGGCCAGCAGCCACCGAAAGCTGGAGTGGACTCCCTAGAGCCTTCCGAGTGAGCTTGCCCTCCCAGTATCTCCATGGCAGACGTCTAGCCTCAAAGGCAGAGATTTATTTTCTGTTGTTGAAAGCCATCGCTTGTGGCACTTTGCTGTGGCCGCCTGGAGAAAGAAATGTGCTCCAGCAGGTTCTTTTTCTGCATTTGGCAACTCTTCTGTGCAGGGTCAGTCATCTTCGCTGAAGCTCCTTCACCATTGCAATTTCCAGGTTGTTCTTGTCCTGGTCCACAACCCACTTTACTCGTCCACAGCTGATGGGGCAGCTGTAGGCTCAACACTAGACAGAAGCTCGGCCTGTGTGGGCTGCTCCACCTGTTTGTCTAACTGCCTAAGGCTTCACTGCTCTCCTCTCTTATTTCATACCATCCGGGTGATTCTGCTGCTCTCATTACTCTTGCCAGACTCATTTTAAAATTCAGTAAAAATGAACTAAAGGAAACCAATATTGCCACCCAGTTCTTTCCACTATATGACAGTGGGATATTGGAGTGGGAGGGGTCATGGGCATTTTGCCTGGTGGTTAAGACACCTCTTTGGACACTCACATCCTATAATGGAGTGCCTGGATCCAAGTCCCTGCTCCACTCCAGATTCCAGCTTCTTGCTAATGTGCAGCATTGGGAGGCGGCAGGTGATGGCTAAGAAGTTGGGTCGCTGCCTGCTCACAGTGGATATCTGTTTAGGGTTTGTGGCTTTGACCTGACCCAGCCTTAGCTGTGGGCCACGAGATAGGAGATCCATATCGCTCTGTCTTCCCAAACCGTAAAAGAATATATGGAATAAAGACGGATTGTGGGCCTTTGTGGAAGGTCTGCTAAGTACAGTGTGTTATGCTAAATAAACTCTGTACATACAATTTTCACCCGTTGAACTCAAAACAACCCTTGGAGAACGTACCATCATTATACCTGTTTTACAAACGTAGGTAAAAGAGGGTGAGAGAAGTGAAGTGATGCAACTCAGTGTACATCTAAACCCAGAGTTAAATACAGGATGCAACTCTCAATGACCAGATTCTATCCCCCAATTTCTTAGAAGTCCAAAGAATTGTGTCTTCCCCTGGGATCTTACGGACCATTATCTCCCTTCCTCCAAGTCTGCTGCTGACTTCAAGATTTTGCCTATGCCCGTCCTTTTTTTGGTTTTTGCTTGTTTGTTTGTGTTTTGGTAAGCACAAAGTCCTAGGATTTTTATTTTAGTTTCTTGTCTGAAATTTTCGTGTTATTGACATAAATCATGAAAATTTTGGAACATACATGACGGATGTGGCTTAATCCAAAAGGACTAACAACCAGCAAAATAATTTTCACGGGGAAAAAAATTGCATTTATAGATTAATGAATACATACATCTTTACCTGGTTTCATTTCAAATACTTAGAGTATGTTTTTTCACTTGTAATTGTTGCTTATCATTAATATTACTTCCCATATCCCAGATAATCAATTGAGAACAGGTGCTAGTCATTTTGGTAGGAAGACTTCCTTTCCGGTTAACCCTTATTCTTTGCATCACTTATTGAAAGGGCTGTGCTTGACTAGCAAGAAGTGTACCTTCAGCATCCACCCATCCTTTGCCTGTCCTTTAATTTTCTTTGTTCACTAGGACTTGACTCTGGAGGGCAATTCTTTTTTTCCCCCATATACATATATATAATTTTATTTTGATGATCTTTATGTAGTTAATTAGGGCTCAAAGGGTCAAGGGCTACGGGAAAGTGGGTAAGACCATTGTTCCCACATTCTCTTTTTCCTTCCTGTATCTGGGGGAAGGGAGAAGCCCCACCCAGCCTCCCACCCATCCCAGGGTCCCTGACATGGAGCCTGCTCTGAGGGCACTGCTAAAGTGGTTCTGATAGTTCAACTGTTCTGAATTGCTGCCTGTCTCGCCATTCCAAACATGATGAAATCTCTCCAGAACCTACTGGCTGACATAGTCCACCTTAGAGTCTCCATTTGCTCAGATTTTCACTGTCAACACTTGGCTGGGGTAGTTGATCAATTTGTTCTGTCCTTTGTCAAAATCGTATACTATTAAAGTAGAACACTTTTTTAAAAAGAATTATTTTTATTGGAAAGTCAGATTTACAAAGAGAAGGAGAGACAGAAAGGAAGATCTTCCACCTGCTGATTCACTCCCCAAGTGGCTACAATGGCCTGAACTGAGCTGATCCTAAGCCAGGAGCCAGAAGCCTCCTCTAGGTCTCTACACAGGTGCAGGATCCCAAGATTTTGAGCCATCCTCTACTGCTTTTCTGAGCCACAAGCAGGGAGCTTGAAGGGAAGTGGAGCAGCCAGGATATGAACCGGCACTAATATCCCAGTGTATGCAAGGTGAGGACTTTAGCCACTAGGCTACCACGCTGGAACCAAACACTTTTTTTTTTTAACACAATCACTTACATACATATCCAGATCTTCTGCAAAATCATGGATATTTTTTTTAAACTTTTTCCATTTTTTATTATACTTTTGACAATCTTTACATAGTTAATTAGGGTAAAAAGGTTCAAGGGCTACAGGAAAGTGGGTAAGACTATTATTTCCATATTGTTTCCTTCATGTATCTGAGGTAAAGGGGGATATTAAGGGAGAAGCCCCACCCAGTCTCCCACCCACCCCAGGTCTCCGATGTAGGGCATGCTCCGAGGGTCTGGCTCAAATGGTTTTGATAGTTCAACAATTATGAGTTGCTGCCAATCTTGCCACTCCAAGCACGATGAGGTCTTTGAAGAATCCACTGATTGACAAAGTCCATCATAGAGTCTCTGCCCAGTTTTTCACTGCCAACATATAGCTGAGGTGGTTGATTGACTTATTCTGTCCTCTGTCATTTCATGGTTTAGGGTTCTGAGTCCGTCAGTTCGATTGGGGAGATCCCCAAAGAGACTTTGTCTGAGATAATCCCAGACCAGGTTCTTGTATGTGCTAGCAAGTACAGGGCCCGGCTCAGTCCATCGCCCTGATCAGCTGGTAGTTGCAATTGCTGGGTTGGTTCTATTTTCAGTCCTGATTTCCACAGGAACCAATGGGTGTTGCAGTCCAGCCTGGTTCTGCCCAGCACACACTTGGCCCTCACATAAACCGGTGGGAGCTGCAGCCTAGTTGGAGCGACCCTCATTAACCCCCACCAGACCTGCCTCCTACCTTGCTTTGCCAGCAGACTAGTCCAGTCTGTCCCACATCCCATTCAGCTCTCATACATGTCAATGGGCATTGAAGCCTAGTTCCATCTAACCAGCTCAACTATCCAGCCCACACAGATGTTGTTGGGTGCCTTTCTGTCTAGCCACCCCAGGCCCTGTCTTACCACGCATGGGAGCGGTAACCCAAGAGGGAGGAGCCCACTATTTCCCTCCCAGGCCTCTCCCACTCATGGATTATGCACTCTCCAGGTGGTTCTGTGGTTTAACTTGACAGAACTAGCCCCTAGTGCCAGCTTCTACCAGCTGATACTGTGGCTAAGCCCAAACAACCCTCACCCACTCTAATTTTGTTTGTACCAGTAGGAACAATCAGCCCAGCCTGGCTTTTCCCTGATCTAGCAGTCCACATGAGGCACATAGGTGTTGTAGCCCTGCTTAGTCTGGTCTGCCCCCATCCCAGCTCATGCTCTCCAGAGGGAGTAGCTGTCCAACAAGGGAACCCCCCTATATTCCCTCTGCTGGTTCCGCCCCCTCCCTTCCTGGTTCTCACATGTGCTGGTTGGGCACTGTGGTCACATCCGGTACAGGTAACTTCACCTTGGCATTCCATAATGTGCACTGGTGTTTGTCACGACTGAACCTGGTTCGACCCACTTTGTTTTGGTGCTTGGATTTGGTAGTGAATGACATGAACTGATTGAGCCTGGTCTATCCCTGACCCCTGCCAATTGTGTGCCAATGAGAAACTTTCCATGGCCTGTTCTGAGTTGTCTCCTATCATGTTTCTTGCACTTACCTGCCAGGTCTGTGTCCTGCCAGAGGAGTTTGCCCAGGCTCCTCCACCAGAACCTCTCCCACTGCCAGATTTTGCACATACTAGTGGGTTCATGAGCCAGCACTACTCAGTTCACCTCCTGTCCTAGCAGGGACAGTGGCTTTTCCTGACTGGCCTTCAACTCAAACTAGTTCTTGCTGTTGGATGTTTCAGCCCAGCCATGGCTCGTCCATACCCACATACAGCTCACACATGGCTCAGGAGGGGTTGAGACCTAGCCTAGTCCGTCCCACATCCACCCTGGTCCTCCAGGACACCAGATAGTGTTGGAGTCTAGCTTGGCTTGGTGCATCCAGTCCCAGTCCACACTTGTGCCAAGGGAGACTACAACCGTATCCTGATGAGAACACAGCTCCCATTCCAGGCCACGCGCCCCTTGGTGAGAACCTCAACACAGCTAGGGTGTCCCCTTAGCTCTCCAACCGGGCCTGTTCCCAGCCATGCCAGTGGTTGCTCTGACTCAGCTTGGCACAGCCTCTCACCTGTCCCGACCCCTGCCTTTGACTCTGTGGCTCAGCATCTCTGGCTCATGCAGACCCGTAGGTGCAAGAGCCTAGCTCGGCATGACCTGTGCTTCATCCTGAAAACCATGGGTTTTCAATTGCAGAAGAACTATATTCTACAGCAAGAGTATATTTTACATTGCAACTCAATTCACAGTCACACACATACACATCTTCCAAATACAACTATGTGGGTTGGCACAGTGGCTTAACAGGCTGATCTGCCACCTGTGAGTGCTGACATTCCCACCCCACATGGCATTGTTTCATGCCCCGGCTGCTCCACTTCTCATCCAGCTCCCTGTGTATGGCCTGGGAAAGCAGAGGATGGCCCAGATTCTTGGAACTGCACCAACACCGGAGACCTGGAAGAAGCTCGTGGCTTCAGATCAGTTCAGCTATAGCCACCGCAACCATTTGGAGAGTGAACCAGCATATGGTAGGTACTTCTCTGTCTCTCCTTCTCTGTAAATCTACCTTTCCAATAAAAATAATACAATCTAAAAATATAAACAAACAAAAAGAAAAAAAACAAATACAAGTAAAGGAACTTCACAGTTCATGGAAAATGAAATTAAGACATTATGGAACACCATTTTTAAAGTTCATGTAAATAGGGATCTTTAAAAATTATAGAAAATGCAGACTATTAAAAACTATATAAACTTACTTTTTTGCATCAAAATAAACTTATCTTTTAATTTCTTTTTTCATAATTAAAAAATATATATGTTGTTTATTTGAAAGGCAGAGTATGAGAGAGAAGTTTGTTTCTCAAATGGCCATGATAGCTAGGGCTGAGGTCAGGAGCCAGTAATTGCACTGTTATTTCCCATAAGACAGCAGGGACCCAAGCACTTGAGCCATCACACACTGTCTTCCTAGGCATGGTAGCAGGGAGCAGAATCAGCAGCAGAGCAGCTGAGACTTAAACCAGCACTCTGTTATGCAACATTGGCATTGCAAGCAAAGACTTAATGCATTATGCCACATTACCAGCAACTCCACAAACTTCAGAAAGTATCCTTGGGCTGGGGCCATTGTTGCAGCATGTTAAATCATGGCCTTTGGTGCTGCCATCCCATACGAGTGCCAGTTTGAGTCCTGGCAATTCTATTTCCAACTCAGCTCTTGTAATGGGTGCAGCCATTGATGGCTCGCAACCGCTGGTCAGGTTCAGTGACAGCGGATAGGATGCATCCCGCACCCCGCCCTTCCTGCCTCCTCTCGTGCCATTCAAGTTAACTGAAGGTGCGAAAAGCGCACCCTGCCCCTCCTGCCTTCCCCACCATTCACAACTGACAGGGTGGAAATGATTCCCGAGGCTCCATGCACCTGGCTCATCCTGCTGCCTGTTGGGCTAAGTTAGGTCAGAGAACTATAGGAAAACTTTGGGCTCTGATAACTGCCTTGCTGCCTGAAACTCTGTACTGTGTGGCTTTCAGTCTGACTGGAGGACAGAGCTTAAAAACCCCTGACTTTTGCCACTCAGCGCAGTGGCTCCTGCAGTGTAGTAGGGGCTGCTGTCACCAAACTTGGGAAATAAAGACTAACATCCTACACTTGGGTCCAGTGTGATCTCACTCACACTCCATAACACTCTTTGCTAATGCACCTGGCAGAAACAGTGGAGGATGCCCCAAGAGTTTGGGCTCCTGTGCCCACTTGGGAGACCCAGAAGAAGCTCTGCCCCCTAGCTTCAGCTTGGCCCAGGTTTAGCTATTGTGGCCATTTGGCGAGTGAACCAGAAAAACAAAACAAACAAAAAAAACAAGAGCGTGAACCAGTTTTTTTTTCTGTCTCTCCTTCTCCTCCTGTAAATGTTTTTCAAGTTAAAAAAAAAAGTTATATTCAAAAATAATCCTCCTCTACCAACGATAACTCAAACAAAAGTTTCATGGTTAGTAGTTGCTTCACTGCTTGTGACACACAGCGATTTTTGTATTTTATCCCTTATGATACAGTGCTCAACCTGAAGCATTAACCGATCTTTTAAAATTACAGGTGGGTCAGCCTTGACACACACTGATCCACACTGGGCTATGTGCTGTAAGATTTTGTTTTTGCGTTGTTATAGATCAACACACGGCCTGTCCCAAAGGAGGCATTTGAAGAGCACCTGCTGTAGGATTGACTTTTTCTTGAAGGAAAGAATGTTGCCTACCTTGTATTCACCCTGTACTTGCTGCCGTTCTTCCCACAGTAGTTAGTGATCAAATGGCTAAAATTCAGGCTTATTGTCAAGTTGCAGAGACCAGCATTTGACAAGCTTCTCCCATGTGGCAGTAACACAAATGTTCAATTCACAACTCCTTCTCTTCATTGCCTTAAAGGCAGCCTGGAATTGCAAGAGGGAATAAGAGAACGAGGTTACTCATCTGAGAAATTCTAAAAGGGGGTGAGACATTTGCAGAGCAAAATTAGCACCTCTGTTAACAATAAAGGCCATGCCAGGGGACTCATGATAACTCTCAAGAGCCGGTCAGGCCTGTTAATCAAACCCCAGGGTGAAGATCAGGGTGGGCCTCCTGCTGCCTGCTGATGGCCTCTGTAGGTAAGGCCTGAGGACCAATGCCAACAGGGTGGAGCTCAGCCAGCCTGGGTTATTGTTCCCAAATGCACCAACTAGATGGCAGTCCCCCTCAGGGATCTGAATCAGACTGGACTGCCACATGGGCTTGTCACCTGCTAATTTCTAGTGGGCACTGCCATTGCCAAGCTTGGTTAATAAAGACTCCTTAATGCACCTTGGACTTGTGTGGTGTGATCTTCCTCGCACCCTTCATGGACCCCACACTTACCTGGCAGGATCTCCCTTGCATCACAGCATCAGGGGAGGCACCACTGACCAAGCACAGGCTACTAATCTGTTGGCTTCAGGTTTCCCAGCCTCCAGCAGTGTGAACGACACACTGCTGCTCTGTACAAATTACCCAGTCCTGAGTATCCTGTTTAACAGCCCAGACTGACTAACAGCTTCTGTGTTTACAGAGATATAGATGAAATGCTACACAGTGTTTAAACCAGTCCAGGGACCATCACAGCTCAGGTTCATATTTGCTGCCTTTAGTTCACACTACTGTTTGTTAGAACCTGGAGAACATTTTAAAATTGCCCTGTTCCCCACCTTCAGCATGGCTGACCTGGAATCTGGGAAACTGGCTTTAAAGGTCTCTGGGTCACTCCAGTGCAACACATGAGCAGTCATTGGAGTGGTCTGCCAGGGAGGAACGTGACCAGACGCCCAGAGGTGCAGATGACAGAGGAGGCGGCTGAGCACTTAGGAGAGAGGATCCAGAAACAGCTGCAGCTCAAATAGCAATCTCCAGTCATCTCAGAAATACCTCTACGCAATCAATCCTTGGGAAAACATCCTATGCTGCCACAGCAAATGAGAAGACCCAGCACAGCATGTCATGGGACTTTCCAGTCTCAGGAAGACTTTGGCTCATGGCTGTGTGACTTGGCCCCACTCACAACATCCTTCATTTCAGCCTATAAGACTCTCTGTTACAGATCAGCCTTTATAAAGATGGGAGTTCCCAGATCGCTGTGGTTGCATTTTTCCTAGCTAGGAAATTGCACAACTGTTTACTGAAGAGGGTCAACCAAAAACCCTGGGAATCTTTTTTTTTATCCCAATTGATGGATGAAATTGAAATTGTACATATTGACCCTGCTGAACTTTATGA